AATTAGAACCTAGCTTGAATCAACTTGTCACACTGTTTATCGTATTAGGTGGACCACATATATATTTTTGTAATTACCCTTCATTTAGCAAGAGCAAGAGCAAGAGCACATACCGTATTTGCCGGCGTATAAGATGACTTTTTTGCCCTGAAAAAGATGCCTCCAATTGGGGGGGTCGTCTTATATGCCGGGTCGTCTTATACGCCGGCAAATAGTAATTGGGAAGCACTGCGGCTGCCCGCAGCTGAGGCACTTTTGCGCACCGTGGAAACGAATCCCGTGAAGCCGAAAGGAGCAGCCAGCCTTCTCCCAGCTCCCAAGGAAACGAGGCTCGCACCGCCCGAGCTCCGCTGAGGTATCCGGCTGGGGCTGTCAGGAGTTGTTACCGCTGGCGCGGCTCCGCGTGGCTCCAGTCCCGCGTTGCCTCGGGAAGGGAAAGGCAAAACCAGGAGCCGCTGCTGCCATTACAAAGCGCCGCCGCTGCTCTTCCTTTTTGCCTTTCCCTTCCCGAGGCAACGTGGGACTGGAGCCGCGCGGAGCCGCGCCAGCGGTAACAACTCCTGACAGCCCCAGCCGGATACCTCAGCGGAGCCCGGGCGGTGCGAGCCTCGTTTCCTTGGGAGCTGGGAGAAGGCTGGCTGCTCCTTTCAGCTTCACGGGATTCGTTTCCACGGTAGACAAAAGTGCCTCAAAAAAAAAAAGTGCAAAAGTGGAAGGCGTGCGGAAGAGGGGGCGAGTATATAACAAACTATATTTTGAGTGGAAATGTTGCGGGGGTCGTCTTATACGCCGGGTCGTCTTATACGCCGGCATATACGGTAGACTTATATATTGCTTCATAGTACTTTACAGCTCTCTCTGTGGTTTACGGAGTCAGCATATTGCCCCCAACAATCTGCGTCCTCATTTTACCGACCTCAGAAGGATGGAAGTCTGAGTCAACCTTGAGCTGCTTCAGGACTGAACAGCTGGAAGTTGGCAGAATTAGCCTGCAATACTGTATGCTAATCAGTGTGCCACCATGGCTCTTATTTAATGGATTTTAATGAGTTTTGTGGAAAGAAATTTCTCTTGCTGTGCCAATTTGTACCTGATAATGATTAACTGTACAGTCCATACCTTGAAATTTTAAGAATTTATGTTACCATATCTCCTTATCTCTTCCTTATCTCTTCCTGCTCTAAATTAACAATTTGGACTTTGTCTCAGTTCACATATCAAAGCTACTAAGTTTTTTTCTATGAATATTTCTGTAGTTATTTCTTACCATTAAGAATACACGTCTATCTTTATAGTTATTATAGTTGGTTTGTTTTCTTATCAGTTTTAAAGCAATTAGTTCTGTATTTCAGGTCTTCTAGTAGTGTATATGCATGTTGAACTATCTTTGATCAACATATTTTAATATCAGAACTATGTAACTCTCTAGCTCTTGCTTTTTGCTTCTCTGGGTGCAAGAGACTTGACTGCTTTGGAACTACAAACTCATTTAGATCCTCTTTAGTTATAGGCACTGAATTTGGATGAGTTTTCCATGAATCATAGAAGGAAAACAAAACCAATGTTCTTCTTTCAGGGATTTCTTCCAAGCACTTTAACCTGTATTCTAGAATTGAATGAAGTCTAGAATTTACAGCTGATTACATGAAAGTAAACTTTAGCCAAATCTTAAAGAACCAAATCTATCCTTCCACTGAAACTAATTTCATCTCCAGTACAACAACTGACACATTTTGGGAACTTGGAGAACACAATGCAGGAATCTCCAGTTTCTCATGCTTTACACAGAGAATATTTAGACTACATATAGCAGATAGAAGAGCACCATTGTCACATAGACCTTTAAAATGGCAAGGAAATAGTAATCTCATCTTGGTATTTTTTTTAAAAAGAGAATTTAATGTTAAACATATTTCTCTGACATGTCCAGGGGCATATTTGGCATAAGACCTCCCCCATTTCTTGATGCTTGAAAGATCCTTAAAAGTCTTTGCTGAATTATATTCTAATTGCCATCTGTAGACTATTTTTGTTTTGTTTTGTGCAAATAAGCCCAAGGTTTGGAAATGTTGATATTTTACATCAAGGTATCTTACCATGCAATCTGTAAATAATATACTGTAAGGCAGTGATCCCCAACCTTTTTTACGCCGCGGCCCGGTACCGGCATCAGCTGGGCGCCGCGGCCCGGTACCGGCATCAGCTGGGCGCCGCCATCTTTTTTTGATGAAAAAGATGGTGGCGCCAGCGCTTCCGGTGAGCTTTTCCGGGTAGAAATGGCTTTCTACCCGGAAAAGCTCACCGGAAGCGCTGGCGCCGCCATCTTTTTTTGATGAAAACGTGCTTCCGGTGAGCTTTCTACCCGGAAAAGCTCACCGGAAGCGCTGGCGACATCTTTTTTTGATGAAAACGTGCTTCCGGTGAGCTTTCTACCCGGAAAAGCTCACCGGAAGCACTTTTTCATCAAAAAAAGATGGCGGCGCCCAGCAAGCCAGCAGCCCGGTAGGACCTGTTCCGCGGACTGGTACCGGTCCGCGGACCGGTGGTTGGGGACCCCTGCTGTAAGGGATCTTATCAGAACGGTATATACCAGGGGTGTCAAACTCGCAGCCCATGGGCTGGATGCATCATGTGCTCTCCCCCCGCCCCCGGGTTTAGCGAAGGAGAAAAAATACGTCATGTGATGCCACCGTGATGATGCGAGTTTGACATACCTGGTATATACATTCACTTGACTCTCAGGGAAGAAATAAAAGCATTATATTACATATTGCTCCCATGTACACAGATTTACATGACTGCTACAAAAAAATTGTTCTGTGTAGCATTTAGCAGGTTTTTTTTGATCAAGTATATTTAGGTATATTGAATCATTTATGAATCTGGAAAGCCATAGGTTTATCACGTTTGTAAATCCCTTACTTGCCTGATTCTATTACTATTTTTTCTTAGTTTTTCTCCTTTTTCTCTAACTTAAATTATGTTTTGTTGTGCTGGAATGTTATTAAAAAGAAAAGCTAACTTAATTTATTTGTATGTTTGGCAAATTTATATGGCTGCCCCTCTCATTTGATGTGATTCTCAGCAACGTATAGCTAGCAGTTAAAACAGTATGTGACCATGAAATGCTTAAAACAATAAACATATGTAAAAAACAACTTTAGAACTCATGCCCCCATCAGGTAGTATATGGAAGTATCTATAGAAAAGTTTATTACAAGTATACTTAGCCACTGCTCTCACCCTAAGCAGTCAGAGGTTTTGATGCTATCTACTTTGGCTCCTTTGAAAGACATGTTATCTAGGCCTAGGGTAGTGATTTCCGTTGAAAAGAGAGTCATTTTCACACTATGGATTTTTCTTTCCTTTTACAGTTTAGAATACAAATGATGGCAGAGACACTCACGCTAATGTGAGATAGCCTCTAAATTCCATAGTCTCTAAAAGGATCTACCATTACTTTTAGGCTGTATCCAGATAATATATTAATTTAGCCCACTCTACCCAAATAAAAAAAATAATTCAGATGTGTGGATCTCAGCAATGTCCTTGGGCAATTTTGGAGATCATGTCTGAAACTCTATAGGGCCCAAAGGTTGAAGACAATTGCATTCAAAAATTCAATTATAAAGTTGAAAGGGACCTTAGAAGTCATCTAATCGTCTCCAGCTCAGTCCATGATTCAGCAAAGGAGGACTTATCACTTTATGTGGAAGCCCAATATATTGACTGACAGTTGTACAAGTAGGAAATTTCTTCTGACATTTAGTCTCATTTTCCTTCCTTGTAGTTTTGACATACTGTCTATGGTCCTGCCCGCTAAGGCATCAAATAACTTGAATCTTGTCTTCTATGTGACAGTCCTTCAAATATCTGAAGACAGCAATCATGTCCTCACAATACTCTCTGGATTCTGTACTCAGTATAGAATTCAGATCCTGTATTCATTCCGCATAGTACTTGGTTTCCAAATCCTTCATCATTTCAATAAGACTTTTGAACTCAAATTTGTCACTGTCCATTTTGTATTGTAGTGCTCAAAAGATACAGTATTTCAAGTAATGTCCCAACCAGGACATGGCAGAGATGAATAAGTTCTTCCAATGCTTTACACTCCTGCTAATGCAACCAAAAGAGTATTTATATTAGTCTTCTAGCCAGCGTAAGAAACAGCGTTTACACTTATACATAATGGCTGTCTTCACACAACAAAATAATGCAGGTCGCTTGGTTAGGGACGCTGCCTTCTAAATACAAAAAATCTTTGATGTCCACAATTGAGCCCAAAATTTATGTTGTTAAGTGAGACATTTGTTAAGTGAATTTGCCCCACTTTATGATTTTTCATGCCACACTTGTTAAGTGAATCACTGCACTTAAGTTAGTGATACTGTTGTTAGGTGAATCTGGCTTCCCCATTGACTGTGTGCTTGTCAGAAGATCACAAAAGGCGGTCGCATGACCTTGGGATACTGCAACTGTCATAAATATGAGTCAACTGCTGAGTCTGAATTTTGATGACGTGACCATGGGGATGCTGCAAGAGTCATAAGTGTGAAAAATGGTCATATCAACTTTCTTTCACTGCCATTGTTAACTCTGAACGGTCACCAAATGAACTGTTGTTTAAATCGAGGACTCCCTATATATTATTTTACAGCCCAGCCAGACGAGTATCTCTTTCAGAGGTAGTTGTCACAGGGGAAAATTCTATGCCAGGTAATGTTCTTTAATTAGGGCTGGTATGCAGTTCGTCTAGTGAAGAATGCCGCAGGGGAAACGATTCCCAGTTCGACTCGAACCAGGAGAGCTCGAACAGCTGATTCGCTCTGACGTTTTGTTACGGCCACCTGAGCCCCAGCCTGACTTTTCAAGCCTTCCCACAAGGAGAAGATGTGCGCGTAGCTGCTTCTCCCACCTGAGCAGCGCGAACAGAACAGACCCGCCCACTCTAGCCCTGCCCTCCAAATTACCCGACTGATTGGACCTTGCCGCTTGCCGTCTCTTCTTGTGGCAGACAGTAACAGGAAGCGCTGCCGGCGCCTCCGAACCCGCTGGGAGAGCGAGCCATGGAGTTCTCAGAGGAGAGGTTGCGGAAGTGGCTGAGCAAGGCAAGCGGCGAAAGTGGGAGGAGGAGGAGGAGGAGGAGGAAGAGTTTTACAAGCGCGAGCTCGTGGAAGCTCTGGTTTCGGCGACCCAATTTTGGAACACCTTCCCTGGCTTGAAGGGAGTGGGAGCGACTGCCTGAATCCATAAATCAATGTCCCCCCCCAAACTTGGCCGCTTTAAGATGTGTGGACTCCAACTCCCAGAATTCCTCAGCTAACATGGCTGGTTGGAGGGTTTTTGGGAATTGAAGTCCACACATTTTAAAGTTCCCAAGTTTGAAAAACATTGAGCTTTCTGAAGTTGCTTGTTTTCTTGCATACGTTTCATTACTCTAACTGGGTAACACAGTTACCTAGTGCTGTAGTTTGGGTAATGAAACGTCTTGCAAGAAAACAAGCAACCTCAGAGAGCACCAAGGACCCCTCATTTCAATCCTGAGCTACAAATATTCTCCTTTCTTGAAAAAAAAAAATTGCATTCGATCATGCTTCCCTTGCCCTCTCCCTCTTGGTCGATTTCTTCCCGTTTGATAGTGCATAAGCTACTGGACCTGATCTTCCCTGTTCAGCCGCCGTGAAAGATGCATGTTTTTGCAGGGTTTCCTCAACCCTGAGGCGTCAGGGTTGTTTTCCCCTTTCTGCTTCAAACGTTGGCTATTTCCTCCTCAATAATTTATATCATCGAATCCCATCACCTTTCTTTTGTTCTGGGAATAGAAATAACAGATTTGTCATTATTACGATGGGACAGGCATGTCTCTGCATGTCTCTTTTCTATTAAGCTGATCTCTTGAGGGACCCAGTAATTAACACATAAATGAGGAAAATAGGCTGTATTTCTGTTGAATAAATCACAATGGGGTGTGCATGTAATTCATTGTTCATGCTGCTCTTCATGGTCCCCAAATTGTAGCATGTATATATCACAGAAACAGCCTTTTTCTGCTGTGTCCTGGTGGGGTTAATTTCTCTTATCCCAAGGTGCAGTTGAGATACCCTAAAGTCCTCCCTAGCTGCTTCTTTTTTAAAATAGACTTTTCTCTTCTTAGAACTTCTCCCAAAATGGGTTGAGGCACATTGTTTGAGCATTATTATCTCCCACTTGATCCTGTGCCCTTTCTCCATGCCCATGTACTCTGTTGGTACCTGTGTAGCAGTCAGGAGAATGAGCCTCTATTCACAAATAACCTGACTGACTGAAGCATCGAGCTGAGTAAGGGTGTGTCACTGCACATTCACAAGCTCTTAAGCAACAGGACAGATGACTACATTCACTGTTGTAAGCACCAATCTCATTTACCTTGCTCTGTCCATATCATTGTAAAGAGAATGAATGGTGGTTGATTCCCTGCTTCCAAGAGGGAGGGGAAACAAATTTGAGGGCATCCACCAATCCTTTTCCTTAATTTAGCCTGCAGTATGAAAAAACAGCTTTGTTACTATTGCTGAGTAAGGATAGAGAATAGGAGCAGAATTTATGCTGACATACTGTTCTGCCAGCTCAGAGACCTGTGGATTGCATAGCTCTCTAAGTGCTCTAAGCCTAAACCATAAACACTCTTTTATGGTTTAAGTCAGGATGATGTTTTTATATAACATACACTTTGCTATGAAAGTGTACTGCTTACTGCTGCTTGGGAAGTCTATGGCCGGAGCATGAGTTGCAGCAAACATACCACAGGATTGTGTACTGAACATTGTCATAAGAGTCTCATACAAAACAGCTCCTGCAAGAACTAGCTACAGCATTGACTTTCTCCCTATCTCAATGTGATCAGGTGTATGGTGATCCCTCCCCATCTCACCTGGAGTCTCCTAATCCATTTAAGTCTATAGGTCCTCCTAAATTCTGTTAAAACATTTTAACCACATAGAGATCCTGATTTTATTATCAAATCATCCTTTCATAATCCCCTTTCCCACATTCCCTAGGAATTTTACTCAACGAATAATGCCAGAATCCCTCTCTCTGGAACATCATTCCCCCAGAGATTAGAATGGCCCCCATTCTAATTCTCTTCCGGAAGGCACTGAAGACCTGGTTCTGCCAGCGGGCTTGGGGAACCCAGAGCGGGATGGAGCCCATTAAATGGCTCTTGCGATCTGCTGTTGCTAGGGTGGGAGACGGGGGGTAATTTTATTATATTAATTTATTTGATTCTTCTTACTAGTTTTACTGTTTTAAATGTGGTTTAATATCTTGTAAGCCGCCTTGAGCCAACATGGGCAAATAGGCAGAAATATAAATCCAATAAATAAATAAACAAATATGTGTTCGTATTCTTTTGCAATCTGAATGGCTGTTTAGACATTTCCTTTCACATGGCCCTATAGTTCATGTTTAAGATGACCAAAACTGTCTTTCTTATGTTTCCAGTATAAATTCCGAGATCTGACCATAGAAGAACTGAAGCACATAAATGAGTTGTATCCCACCATCAGGTTCACAATGAGCACCTACAGTAAGAATTCCTATTTTGGGGATAGATATATTACAGGTAGTCCTCGGCTTACAACAGTGTGCTTAGTGACTATTTGGAGTTGCAACAGCACTGAAAAAAAGTGACATGACCATTTTTCACACTTATGACCGTTGCAGCAACCCCATGATCATGTGATCAAAATTTGGCCATTTGACAATTAACTCACATTTATAGTGGTTGCAGTGTCCCAGGGTCATGTGATATATTTTGCAACTTTTTGCCGGCAAAATCAATGGGGAAACCAGATTCGATTAACAACTATGTTACTAATTTAACAACTACAGTGATTCACTTAACAAATGTGGCAAGAAAAGTCATAAAATGAGCAAAACTCACTTAACAAATTTCTCATTTAGCAACATAAATGTTGGGCTCAATTGTGATCATAGGTTGAGGACTGCCTGTACCTGCATTTTTTTTTAATTCGAGAACCTTATAAATCAAATGAATGAATAAAAAGTGAAATAAATGCTGAATATCAATATTAATATATTATAGATGGCTGTTATTTAGCCACCTGAAATATGTTCTGCATTAATAGTATAATAGTATAAAATGCATATTAATAGTATAATGTATTTATTAGGAACTACACCCATTGTTTCCTTTAAATTATTTGGGCAGTGTGCATGGGATTGCAATCTTACTGTATACTTTTCTTAAATTTTCAGCAATTAATTGATCACTTTTACTATTATAACCTTTACAAGAATGGCATGGTAGAGCAAAATGTATATTTATATGCCACTATTTTTTTAATTAGCATCCTTGTAGTTTTTGAATGGATTTTCTATAGCATTATGTTGCCTTAGAAAATCTGTGTTTGCTGAATTTATTTTTTATGTCCTATTATGATACTTTGAAATTCTATGTAATTTCTATTTGTGTGTGCGTATGCGTGTGTAATGCTTTTATTTATTTATTTATATCCTGCATTTATTATTTGTACAAATAACTCAGGGTGACAAACATATCCAACACACCTTCAGCCTCCTATTTCCCCTACAACAGTAACCTTGTCAGGTGAATTGGCCTGAGAAAGAGGGGCTGGTCCAAAGTCATTCAGCTGGCTTTCATGGCCAAAGCGGAATTTGAACTTGTGGTCTCCCGTTTTCTACCTCATTGCCTTAATACACACACAGACACACATTTAAAAAAATAATAATACAATGAATGACTGCTTTAGCTAATCTGAAATGTTAGGAACAATACATATCAGTAGTAAATCAAGACAATTTTAAAAGGAAAGATGAAATCCATAGTGATATAATGTTTTGAATTTCAGCTTTTAAGGATGGATCCCAGAAAGACCTTCTGAACTTTACTGGTACTGTTCCAGTAAAATATAAGGGTGAGTTCAAGGAATATTTCCTTTGTATTTCTTGTTATTTAAATACTTGATTCCAAATAAAATATTCTGAAATGTATTTAGATACAAAAATTATATGTTGCTTCAGTCACAGGCTATAAACGGTTTACAACTAGTACAATAAGCAGCTAATAAAATAAAGCAACTTTAGTGGCATATTCAGCATGGGAAGAAATACCTTGACACCCTTCCCTTCCTAGTCTACTTACTTATGTGGATGGCTCTGATAAAATAAAAAGCATGAATTTATAGTACAGCATCATTTGTGGTCTTTCCCCCCCTTGAAGTCTGAAGTAAGAAACAAAAAGTCACATTACTTAAGCTAGACAGCCTTATGAATCTACTAAGTAACAAAAGAATGCTGACATTTCTTAGCAATGGAGCTGGAAAGACTTTTTTTGTTTGAGCTATAATGGTGAAAATTAAGCAGCAGAAAGTGGAAAAAAAATATGCAGCTGGCTAAGTGTGAAGCTGATAATGCAACAGTGGAAATAGAGGGCGATAAAGCAGTGTGAAGGTCAGGAGGAGATTCAACAGCAGTTACAGTAACAGACCTGCCACAATACTATAGAAGCAGCAAAGGTTTGTGGATGGACGTTGTCCAGAAAAAGTCCATGGATGGAATCTCAAAAAAAATCAGTTCTTGGCTATAATTAGTGTAGCAGCTATCCCAGAGGTCTAGCAATAGACTTGGGAGGAGATCATGGAGCTATCAAAGAAAGGAAGAGCTATCAAAAAGGTCCATCAGAAAAGCATCATCACTTGCTGAAGATGCTACAAGGCTGATGCCCCATCAAAGAAGTCCAGCAATAGAGGCTGAAACTTCCTGGAAGAGGGCACACAATAAGAACCCCAAGGAAGAGTTGACACTGGTCCTCTTGGTTAGGTAGCATGAGTAGCAAGCTCAATTACAAACCCTAGTGGTTCAGAGCGGAACTACAGGGACCCACACATTAACCCAAGCTGGAGGGGACAGCAGCATACGCCCTGCCCCTCATAAAGTAGCCTGAGGAAGGAAGTTTATTCCCATCCCAAATCAAATTACCCTGTTCATGGGACCTGCCTAGATTTGTTATCACCTTAAACTGAATTTATAACAAATAACAGCCAGTAATTCTCTTCTGGCAGGCGCTGAAGATCTGGTTCTACCAGTGGGCCTGTGGAACCCAGAGTGGCATGGAGCCCATTAAATGGCTCTTGTGATCTGCTGTCGCCAGGGTGGGGGGTGGGGGTTGATTTTTTTATATAGTACTATATTAATTTATTTGATTCTTTTTGTTAATTTTTATTGTTTTAAACGTGGTTTTATATTCTATAAGCCGCCTTGAATCACCACGGGCAAATAGGCAGCAATATAAATTCAATAAATAAAAAAATAAGTAAATAAATAATAATAATAATACCCTGATTCTACAAAAAACTACCCTACTTGAAACAGCTTATATCCTCTGACGCTACCTTAACAGTTCCTAGGTCCTTGGTTAGGACTCAAGCTTTTCAGCTACCAACCATCCCCAAAGGCTGTGAATCTCACCAAAGATTAACAACAACAACAACAATAATAATAATGTCAGCCAGTCAGTTTTTAATATCAAAAGTTAACAATTTAACCCAAATCCAGTAGTAAATACTCACTGGATAACAAACCTACAACACATATGTAACATATGCTGCAGTGTCTCTTCAGAAGAGTAGAGTTTTAACTCTCTTCCTGGAAAATCAACAGGAGTTAAGAAGCTTTAACTTGGGGGGTGGAAAGGGAGGGGCGTGATTTTCCATTCATGTTATGAAGGGTAGGGGATTCAGTCTCTCCACTATCTGAAATGAAAAGCAGCGTCTACCTGGAATCTTTGCTAAACATATTTTTATTTTGTATTTTGACAGGTAACATTTATAATATTCCAATTTGCATATGGATTTTAGATTCTTATCCTTTTGCTCCACCCATTTGTTTTCTAAACCCTACTCCTAACATGGGAATTTCTGTAGGAAAACATGTTGATGTCCGTGGAAGGATTTACCTGCCATATCTACAAGCCTGGAGCCATGTAAGAATTAGATAAATGCATTACATAAAAGTATATGTTATTATCTTACTAAAATTTATATAAAGCTGATATATCTTTGTACCTATTAGTAGCAGCTATCATTTTTCCACATATAATTACATACATAAATATGTGCAAAATGAGATAAAATACAATTTATTTGAATACAAAATTGTTATATTTATGCATGTAAAATGGATGTAAGCATCCATGTAGAGTACATTATAGTAGTGTAGATAGATGGTAGAGAAACCACGAGCCAATGTTGTAAGGTCCCCTTGTGCCAGAGAAAGTCACAACTTATGCATCAGCCAAAGCTGGGTAACAACCCCCTTGGCTATATCCATCACTTGAGGCTCAACAGGAGTTGTGTGTCCTGGAGGGCCTGTAAATTGTGGGTCTACTTCAGGAATGGTGTCTCTTCATTCACAGTAATTACTAGAGCTGAAAGAGAACCTCAGTGTTTTAGGGTTCTGTTTCGTTCCACTAAACTAAACCCTCACAGCTTCAGGTACCAAGATGAGACTCCAGTGGCATCCTAGCTCTGAATGAATAAAATAACTCACTCATAAAAAAAATTAAGGACTCAGTCAGCAACACTATTAGAATATGCTCTTGTCCTTTTGTAAATCTAGCTATGTGAGTTAGGACACTTCCATCTGTATAGCCCTGCTCCTATGCTCTTACTTTATTATTCTAGTCTCTAGGAAAACATTGGAAAACGGATCATGAAACAATGAAGAAAAATACTGTTTTGACATGCATTCCAATATTTTTGTGTCAATATTAATACCCATACCTCATATTCCCAGTTTCGCTATCTACCGAGCTATCTTAAAAATTTACTATAAAATGTTTTCAAGTGATATATATGTTATATAAATAATTTCTAATTTCTTCTGTATTCATTACAGCCGCAGTCAGTAATTATAGGGTTATTACAGGAAATGAGCATAAAATTTGAAGAGGAACTCCCCTTATATGCGTTATCATCTTCTGACGAAGCCAGACAGATGGACCTACTTTCTTATATCACAAAAATTGTTGAAGGTATTCATCTTTTCTGAAAACTTATAATCTGTTGTTTGTGTGTATAATTGATAATATCTTGATAATTTTGTGTTGGATTTTCCTGGAAGAGTCTAAATCAGTAAACTATTACATTATAGGAACAAAGCAAAGGATCTGGAACAGGTGTGTCCAACCCACGGCCAAAGGTGTATGAAGCCCTGGGCAGTTAGTAATGTCACTCCACAAAATTGTAACTTTTAACATTATGTACTTTGCAGTGATATTTATACATATTGACTATATTAAATATTTTATATGCAGCCCAAGGCAATTCTTTTTCGCTCAGTACTGCTCAGGCAAATCAAAAGGTTGGACATGCCTGATTCAGAACAAGTTTGGCACAGTGGAAAGCCTTTCTTGTGGTCAGACTCCAGTCCTTTTAGTTTGAACTGGAAACAAGTTAATCAAGGAACAAAAATCCAAGGACTCTTAAGTGACTATATTTATTAGAATAAATTTAAAGATATACAAGAATTCCAGCAAATACTGTCAGATGAGATGCCTATGTATAGGCAATCTATGCTGTTAAAACTCTTGTCCATTTCTTCCCACTATTTTGATGGGAGAGGGGCAACTTTTCCCTTTTTTGAAAGTGGGGCAATCTGTATTTTTTCATTCTTTTGATGATTCCTATTCCTTTATCTCAGTGAAAAATATCTCAAAGGCTTTTTGAGCCAACTTCTCTCCATTTTCAAGCTACTACCAAGTCAGCACTGATAAATGCACTGTTCCATATCACGCAGGAAAAGGATATTTAGAGAGTTTGTAGAATAGTTGGCATTATCTAGAAAGTATTTTAAAGGCAATGTGAGAGTGCAATCCCATAAAAAGGACAATGAACACTGATCGTCAAAAGCTTTTTGGTTTCTACACCCAAGTCTTTAATTGAGCTGCCCACCTTTTTATTATTAGAGTTACTAATTCATTTTGATGAATTCTCTGTGTATTTAAGGGTTTAAAGGCAAGCAGAGATTTGGCAGATTGTAGAATAGCAACAGCAATAGCACTTAGACTTATATGCTGCTTTATAGTGCTTTACACCCCTCTCTAAGTGGTTTACAGATTCAGCATATTGCCCCCAACAATTTGGGCCCTCATTTTACCCACCTCGGAAGGATGGAACACTGAGTCAACCTAGCCTGGTGGGATTTGAACTGACAAATTGTAGGCAGCTGGCTGCAGAAGTAGCTTGCAATATTGCACTCACCACTGAGACAGAGGCTCTTTTTTGGTTTATGTTTTATGCATAAGGGTGTAAAGTTGATTAACTTCCAGACCTGTTCAGTTTCTCTGCCTGTAATAAAACTGTACAGTATAATACCTCAGAAAATTCATCTGAAGAATTATGCTAATTTAAAAACAGAAATCCCAGGATTGTGTGCTACTATGGTAGAAAGTAGAATAAATGACCAAAATCAGAAATGGCTACTGGAGAAAAAAATTCATTAATGCCAAATAGTTTCTGAAAAAATTAAGAAATCTTAGTTCCCTTTCTTAAATCTACTGTCCCTAGGACCAAGCTATTAATGTATTTTTGAATTTGGTATTTCTTGTATCAATCATTTTTTTGTGTAACAAATGGTTAGAATGGAATAGCCTTTGCCAAATTGGAACATACAGAAAGGGAAGTCTTTGCCCTTCCTGCAGCTTGGATTGCAATGGGAACAAATCTCCCATTAGTTCCAACAGCAATATTTCTCTTCTCACCTAAAAAAAATTATGTTGCAATCCTTTGCATGTTGTCTGGGGGGGGGGGGGGGTAAGATAAATAGAACACAGCAAACTTTCATTTAAATAAACATCCATGCATAGGATTTATTTGGATAACATTTTTTTTTTATTTTTCAAATTACCATAATTACAGGTATCCAGAGCAAGGCATTTTTAAAACTTAGTTTTATTGAGCATCAGCATTGATGACAATGCATAATTGTTTATATAAATAGCACATGACTTTTAGGTGAAAACAATGGACAATCAAAGGGAGAAGAAAAGAAAAATGATGGAGGACTACGCAAAGTTACAATAATTGGGGCTGGAGATCTGGGCCTTGCTTGTATTTTGGCTATTTCAGCAAAGGTATGCGCTTTTTTTAATAGTTAAAATACTTAATGAATTCTGAAATTTTTGATTAGATGCATTAGGAATTCACTTTTAGTTTCTTTTTACTTTATTTGTGATATTTTACAAAAAAAGCTGCTTAACTTTTTGTACTGTTATTATTTTTGTTGGATTGAATCCCATAGAATTCTTCTCCGAATACAATTCATATTTGCTTCAATGAAAAACATTTTTTCTTTCTTTTGAATCAATTTAGAATGTTGCTGACAAAGTGGTTGTCTTGGATTGCTCAGAAACTACAGTGAAAGGAGGAACAATGGACCTAGAAATCTTTGACTTGCCAAAGGTGGAAATTAGTCGAGGTAGTGTTATAGTATCTAGTATTTTCTAGCAATATTGCAAACTAAACTATGCACCTGGGCTGCTCTACAGGATGCAAAAAGTTTTGGAAGCTTCTTTCACCTCAGTGCTTCAGTCTTGGGCATGGATTGCACTGTGTGGATACAATGACATATATATATATATAATGGTTAATGTACTCATCCTAGAGCTCAGCAAATACAGAAAAGCATATTCAACATATATGAAATATTAATGTGTGTTATATTCTTCCTGAGATTTTGATCTGCATTCCAAAATGGGCAGAATGTAGCAAGGGTTATATGTAAAGAGATTACTAAATAATAGACTAACTTTTCTATGGGTTTTTTTGCTATTTTTTGTCAATTTCAGAAGTATTAATAATAATTCCTCTGTTAACTATATAAGTGGGAAGTGATATGTTTGCCTGTTTATCTCAAGTCAGGAAATTAGCCATGTATTATCATAGTTTTAATTTTTTAAAAATGCCATTCTTGAAAATAGGACATATTCAACAATGGTTTATAATTCTTTATATTTCTGTAGATTTTTCTGCGTCAGCAGACTCAAAACTGGTGGTGCTTACCGTTAATTCTTTAGGCAATGCTCAGTCCTATCTGGAGGTTGTTCAGAGCAATGTGGAATTGTTCAGAGGCATTATTCCATCAATAGCTCATTACAGTCAACACAGTGTACTGCTTATTGCCTCTCAACCAGGTACTGTATGGCAAAGGTTAATATAATTTTATGAGGTTTCAATATGATTTGCAGTTGATGTTATTTTGGTGGTTTTTAAAAATAGTTTCTTAATGAGGATTAGGGGGAAGGTTATTTTGTCAATTCTCAACCACAAAATAATAGTATTGAGTATTACATCAAAACTTTTTTTAAAAACTGCTGGTTGTTTTATTTTTTACTAGTTCATTATGTAAAACAGTTATTTGGAATTTCCTTTTAGGCAATTTAAAAACCTCAATACAGGTAGTTCTCGACTTACAACTGTTAACTTAGCGACAGTCCGAAGTTACAATGGCACTGAAAAAAGTGACTTATGACCATTTTTCACACTTACAACTGTTGCAGCCTTCCCAAAGTCATGTGGTCAAGATTTGGACACTTGGCAACTCAGATTTATGACAGTTGCAGTGTCATGAGGTCATGTGATCCCCTTTTGCAACCTTCTGAGAAGCAAAGTCAATTAGGTAGTCCAATTCATTGAACAACCATATTACTAATGTGACAAATGCAGTGATTCACTTAACAATTGCAGCAAGAAAGGTTGTAAAATGGGGCAAAACTCACTTGACAATGTCTTACTTGGCAACATAAATTTTGGGCTCAGTTGTGGTCACAAGTCAAGGAGTATATTTTTCTGATTCCTAATATTGCAGAAAAGGTTGTGTGATTTGTTGCATAATTCAGCTCCATTGTTTATCCCCAAACAGTGAGACAGTACCAGGATTACAATCTTTTAAAAGAACAAAACCACAGAAACACAAGCAGAGAAAAGAAAGAGTAGAAGCACGGTATATCACAAAAAGATCAGCCTAATTTGTTAACACCCTAACAACATGATGTAATCATTCTTTCTATTATGTTCATATACAAAAAGTAAACACTGACAATCCAAGTAAAGATGAGATTGTGCTGTTTTTCTAACCTTGAAGAGTAATTTTTTTGCTGCTTTTCATGCCTGATAATCTATAAATCCATATTACTTGTGATAAGTTTCATGTTTTGGTAATACAATTCAAGAACACATTCACATATTTAAATCATTCTGATCTTTCTAATATTGTATTAATGAGCCTAAGGGTATTAAGCCAAAATAAAACAATAGTAGGATAAGCCCATATCATATCAATAGCTGATCTGACTGACACTATATTGAATGATAATGTCTATTTACCATTTTTGTACTTCCAGCTACTCTTTTCAAATATTTTCTTGGTATTTACTGTTGTAAAAATGCAACCTTTTCAGTTTGCCTCATATTAAAAAGCATAATTAATATTTTTTGAGACTGCCTAATTTATTGGGAGGGTTCAATGAAATCAATAGGTGGCACTAATTCTGATTTGAAGGAAGGCATTAGCAGAATAGGGAAGGATAAATTTTTGATGTTGAAGAGAATTTTGACAACCATAACAATTTATTTACATAAATTATATAAATTCTGGAAAGAATAATTTAAAAATCCAATAACATAGGAACAGATCTTGCTATTTGGAACCTAACAAGGGCCAATTACTATGAACTCTATTCAGGGCATCCATAGAAGGAAGTGTAGATATGTAGAATATTGGTGCACATACAAAAGGAGCAAGGCTTCAGTTGCATCATTGCAACAAAATATACTGATTTTTGATTCCTTGTGGATGTTGTTGGCTCTTACACACACACACACACATATTGTTGTGCTTGCTTTGGTGTGTTTGTGTAGATATTTAGGTCAATATTGACTCCAGGTGACTACATGTATATGTTCCTACAGTTTCTTGGCAAGATTTTGGAAGAGGTTTGACATTGCTTTTTTGGCTTGCTACTGTAGAGGAACATAATTAAAAATGACTAACACCCCACCCCACCCCCAAAATAACAAAAGCAATTGACAAAATCTATTAAATGAGAAAGGGTGAAGATACAAGAAACTTCAATAGTTTGTGTTAACCAAAGTCTAATAAATAATACTAAACTTAGTCCTTTCACATCTTTTCTCCAACACAATTTAATCTTTGTTGTGATTAAATTGTGCAAGAAATCCTGACCTTTTATTGATATCCTGCAGCTGTTCATAGAGAAATAGTAAAACCTCTGATTCCTCAACAATCATAAATTAATAGGTGTATATGCCTACTGTATGGCACACCATTCCACTTCCTTATTCCAAACAGTTGCACAAACAACAGTATAGTTTTTCTTAAGCTTAAAAATGGCATTTAAATGCAAAAATTATTAAAAATCAGTAATATTTACAAAATCAGTAATATTTAAACTACTATTTTATATTCATTTAAAAATATTTGTCGATTCTCTTAATATGTTTTTTTATCATAACTACAGTAGAAATAATGACCTATGTGTCGTGGAAGCTGAGTGGATTTCCCAAAAGCAGAGTTATTGGAATTGGTTGCAATTTGGATTCAGCAAGATTCCAGTATGTTATTACAAATCTGTTGAAAACCCAAAGCAGAAGTAAAGACAATTGGATTATTGGTGAACAGGGAGTAAACAAAGGTAAAATTGTGAACTACTGTATCATTTAGGAATCTACATTTTAGATTTTCTTTCCTCTTTGAATTAGAACATAAATGAGCACTTTTATATTTGTTTGAGAAAATACTGAAATTTATCCTGAAGGTACAATTTTATGAATGAAAAATGTAGGGTAGTCCTTGTTTAGTGATCACAATTGGGGCTAGAAATTGGTCATTAAACAAAGCCATCACTAAGTGGGAAATCAAGTGACTGCAACTATGCTTTCATTGTCTTCACTTTTGCACTCTTTGGAATGCTCACCCTGGTGCTAGGATAATTAGCAAGAAGGAATTAATGTTTAAACAGTCTCTCCTATTCCTGATCCATTTTGTCTCTCCTTCCCTCACAGAATAGGGAGATTGGAGAGAAGCAGATTACAAGAGAGTTAGACACACACAATTGGAAATACACTGGATGTTTGTCAGCACATTCTTTTTGATGTGTATCGCCTTGCTTACTCTCTTATAATCCTTCCTTAATCTTTCTGCTCTGCAAGGGGAAAAAAAGATAACAATAGGTCAGGCACAGAACAACATATTCTGATTACAATGGCGATCACATGCCTGAGGGACACTGCAAAGATTGTAAATAGACGCCTTGGTTGCAGAGTTTATTTTTTTCATCAGCATTATAACTTTAAATGGTTGCAGCAATTGGTCGAGGCAATTGGTAAGCAAAGTCTACTTTAAAACGTTTGCCAACTTCTGCTTTAATTAATAGCTAATCGGAGAAATTAGAGGGGGTATTATATCTCTATTAGCATGACTCAATAGACTACAAAGTACATAGGTTGAAAACCAAGACACGTTACCTAATTATCCAAATGTTTGAAAAAGAAAATTAATTCCAATTGTCTTATACAGTGGCAGCATGGAGTTCTAATTCTGTGATAAATCATCCTGGTGATAAGTTAACAAATGATCAACAGGTGTTGACTAACAGGTAAAACATCTATGCCTCTATCTATTTAGTAGGACACTTATTTTAATGGGACTTCTGTATAAGCTGGTATAAGATGTTATTTAACTATAAAACATTTATATTTGATATTAAAAAGAATATATTGCTTGTTGTAAAAATCTCTTTTAAGTCTTAGATGTATTTCTTGTATTTAGAGCCATGGAAATTCTGAAAGGAAAAGGCCAAAGGTCTTGGTCTGTTGGTCTGTCAATAGCTGATCTGACTGACACTATATTGAATGATAAAAGAAAAATACATTCTGTATCCACCACGGTGAAGGTAAGCAAGAAGCTGATGTTACGTCTGAAGCAGACTGAATATTAGTGTATAGATGACAGTTGAAAACCATAAGAAGAATGGAAAACAGATTATAAATCTCAGGTGCCCCTGACTTTGTCTTGAGGAAACCTGGCTAACCATTTTTCTTGTCCTACCTATTTCATAGCAGAGGCCAGCTGATTTTGGGTTTTTCTGATTTAATGTGGAAATACTATTTTCAACTTTCATCTGACAGAAAAATTGCTATTTTCTTGCTTTGTGTTCCTACAGTGGCCACCATGGCTGTACCAGAAATTGGTCCAGCACTTTTTTATTCCAGGTGTCAAAGCTCCTTTTTGTTGGTTGCTGTCAGCTTCCCTCTACAGCCATTTTTTTACTTTAAAAAAAATTCTTAATACAATTGAAAACACAATTCTGAATATCATTTTTAACAGAATAAATTATATTTCTCAGCAATAAAAGTCAGACACTAAAATGATTAGTCTTTTTGCCAGCTTACTTCAATAGAATAGAATAGAATAGAATAGAATAGTTTATTAGCCAAGTGTGATTGGACTTACATAACTAGTATGGTTTAAAAGTCAATGTCATTTAAAGCAGAAAATGTTCACTTTCGGTTTTGTGGTTTGTATGCTATAAATCACTCGAAATACTGTAGTTTCAGTCGGTCACTAAGTAAAAACAAAGGATTAGTTTCTCTATCTCTTTGCTGTCATCTGCCAATCTGGGATTTTATAGCTCAGATAAAAATACATCTAAATTGTATAATTACTTGCAAGCTTATTTAAATCTTACAAGTATTAGTGTCTGGCATATGTAGAATTCAAACCAGAAGTGTCTTAAATTTCATATATCTTTGGTGAAAACCAGATACATGTAAAAATATTATGTTCATTTTTTTCTAGGGGTATTATAATATAAACAGTGAAGTATTTTTAAGTATGCCTTGTGTACTTGGAATCAGTGGTGTAACTGAAATTATGAAGCCAGTGGAAGAGGATAATGTAGTTGAAAAACTTCAAACCAGTGCTGCATCTGTCAATGACCTTCAACAGCAGCTGAAGCTCTGACTGCCAGGAAACCATAGATTTTTGTTCTTAAAATATTTGAGATTTACAGAAAAGGTATTAATGACCGACTGAGTCAAACATCAAATTCTCACAGTGTGGAAATTTTAGTGAATATTATTATATGGTAACTAAAATTAGACAAAAACATTGTGGTTAGGAAAGTTGTTTGACCATGATATTTCCTAATCATGAATTATTGTACTTCTTTGCCCTTTCCTCATTTTGCTGTGGCCTTCAATACTACTATTCAACTTTGCTCTCTAAAGTAAATTTTTATTTTAATCAGAGATGTTTAGGCAGTCAGAGGTAATGTATCACCATTGGGTTGCTATTTCCCATACATTATTGGCTGTATACAGATAGTATACATTTCTTAGAAAGAAACAGCAGCACAGTATTGTCTAAAATCGATGTTCACAATTCAACTGATATTTATGTTTTTTTACATGTTTACACTACCAAATCAGTCATCTGAAGTTGCCATTATATTGCACAAATATTACTTTAGGTTCAATATGTCTAAATAGAGTTCTCAAAGTGTTCTGTGTAGATTTTAAAGATTTAGGGAAAAGTCTTGGACAAAGGCCATTAAAAATATTAGTGTAATACATTGCTGTACTATTGGCTCCTAAGACCCAGAGAGAAAACAAGATTCTTTCTGTTTTAGGCATAGAATGCACTTTGTTTATCATCCTTTATCACACTCTAAAACTGAGGAGGACCTACCAAAGTAATTGTTCTCTTGAAGCTGGATCCATGCTTCTGGAAAGGGACAGGAACAACATGTAAATGCACTATTCATTATTATGCAGTAGTTAGGTTTTAATTTTAGGCTGCTCACTTCTAATATTGCACTAAGCTTTTAGCAATACAAAAAGATTTTCCACTCTAAATGTAATAAAATGTTATTGTGTAATTATGCATGTCTATAATGATTTTTGCCATTTTACCTTAGATTATTTTTCTAAAAATTATGATATGGAAAAAAACTTAATGAGATATTAATAAAGCTAATGGTATCAGATGTACATTTTTTGCTTTACATTCTATGATCTTCAGAGGTAAACATTTAATGAGGAAGTGACACACAATTTTATGGGTGCATTGCTGGCATTTTGAATCGGCAGTAACAATATCTTACAGAATTTCAGCACATGTGCTTGGTGACTTTGGGCCAGTTACTTTCTCTCAACACTACAATGAAGGAATTGGCAAGCCACTAATGAAAAATGCTGCCAAGAAAACTGCAGGGGGCAATCGCCAGCTGAGCAGAAATAGCAGGTTGTGAAGTCACCTATCCTAATTTTAAAACAAATAACAGTAATAAAGAGTAAGCCCACTTGTGAATTTGCCTTGAGATTAGTTGTGCTTTTTATTTTTATTTTTATTTTTATTTTTATTATTATTATTATTATTATTATTATTATTATTATTATTATTATTATTATAAAATAAAATGAAATTTATATTTATCAGATTTATATAGCCGTCCAGTTCACCAGAAGTGACTCTGGATGATGTACAAAATGAAGAAAATATAAATTATAAAATAGCCATTATAAAAAATAAACAACCATTATTAAAAAAATAATCAGTAAAAATTACAATTTATATAATACCCAGTTCTCAGCAACTCTGGGAACCATGTTCCAAATATGCTTTTTCAAGAGGCAACTGGACACACTGGTTTTCTTTTGAAGACGTTTCGCTTCTCATCCAAGAAATTTCTTCAGCTCTTCAAAGAAAAAAACAGCAAGTCCAGTTGCCTCTTGAAAAAGCATCTTTGGGACAACCATGACCTGGATGACTGAGAATCTCCATAGACATCTGGGACCCATGACCCCTATATGACTTCATAGGAATCTGGTAACAGCCATTAAAATATTAAAGGACATATTCTTGCACAGGCATCTCAATCATAAAGCCCCAAAGAATGTACAAAAGCCCACCTAGTCTCAACCGCATTTTGTCAGCCACTCCAGAAACATGCTGCTGTCACTGAAGTTTCCTGGCTACCAAATAAATGGAGACCTTTTCTGCAGCCTGCCTCCATTTTATTTCAGCATCTTTCTCCCGGCTTGGAACCGGATCCGATTTTTCTTCCAACAATGAGTTCACTTAAAGTTTGTACATTGTTCTTGGTGTTATTTATTTATACCTCACTTTGATCGAGGAGCTCAAAGTGGCACCTTGTCCTCCAATATTTTTCCCCCTACAAACTCACTAAAATAGTGTAGAGTTGTAATTGCAGGAATGTTCCAATCTCGGATGGCAAACCTCAGATAAAGAATGTTTCCAAGCAAATACAACTCAGGCAAACGAAGTCACTAATCTATGGATAAAGGAGGATTAGAGAGGGGAAGTAGACATATGTTAGACTTTAACTAGAGATAATTAATTGTATGGATTACTGCACTAAACAGTAACAAAAGTTAAGCAGTAACCAAAGTTAACCAATGATGGAGGATAACTAAAAATGTATATAAATGCAAGACTATACTCCAATAAAGATCATCATCATAATTCAGTTGTTCATGATCAAACAACTCAACTGCCTCGTCATTACAACAAAATAGGTGTACGGAGACTGGCCAGTTTAGAGGGTGAAGCCGGACTCTTCCCCCCACCCTTAAATGCTGTTGACTCTTATCTAATCTCACCCAGGTGCAAACAATATGAAAAGATTCCTGTGTATAGGGCTGAGCAGTAAAATAGCTAACTTAACTCTTCAAGTACGAGACTGGTTGTTTGCGCTTGACAACTGGTCAAGAGACCATCACCAATCAGAACAGAAGCTGGAAGGGGCCTTGGAGGTCTTCTAGTCCAACCCGCCCCCCCGCCCCCCAGCAAAAGATACCATTTCAAACAAACGGCTGTCCAGCCTTTTCTTAAAAACCTCCAGCGATGACGCACCTGAAGTCAAGCTGTTCCACTGGCTAAATCAGGGATCTCCAAACTTGGCAACTTTAAGACTTGTGGACTTCAACTCCCAGAATTCCTCAGCCAGCTGGCTGAGG